CCCCCCCCCCCCCCCCCCCCCCCCCCCCCCCCCCCCCCGGGACTTGCTGCAGAGTTAGGGGCCCATAAATGGCGCGGCACCCCCAGCCAGCCCTTCTCACGCTGCCTCGCACTGAGCATGTTTCATTAGCCGCCACGATGTGCAGGTCCAGATAGGCAAATGGTTACAGTTAACTGGTGAAGATCGATCCCCGGCACTGAAGTGGACGGCCCTGGCGATTCTCAGTGTCGGCTGTTAATTACAAAAACCACTTTGCTCATGTGTCCTCAAAGAAAGAAAGAAAAAGAAATGATGATGGAGCTAAATGGCAGGCCGCAGGTTTTTTAGTGCCTACAGCCAATGAAGGTTATGGGATGGGGTGTGTTGGCTCCTGACCAGATGGAACTGAAGAGAGCCCTTGGGTTTGGCCCATGTCCCGCCAGGCTCTGGGACCTGATCGTGTTGTTAGAATTGAGCAGGTTCAAAATGGCTGCTTCGCTATTTTCCAGGCTTTTGTGAGGCATGACATTTGACAAAATTTTCAAGCAGTCGTGTCACCCAAACACATCAGTGAGGTCATCGACCCCTGTTACCACAGTGTCCAACAGGACGCCCTTCCCACCCCAACCTTCAGGGGTTGAGAGGCACTGAAATCAGAGAGGGTTTATTTGCCGGCATAACGTAGGCAGCGCCAGTCAGTGGAAGGTCAGAGGCTTGATAGACCCAGTTACACAATTAAATTTTTTTCCAGTGGTGGGAGGAAATTATTTAGTTTCTGGCTGCTTTCAACTGAAATATAAAGGCAGGGACCCTCCCACGTACCTGTCCCCCCCCCCCCGCAAAGGCGGCGAACCCAGGCCAAGGCGAACCGGCCCTAGCAGGCAAAATGACAGCGACAGCGACGATGGCAGCGTGCCATCCGGTGCAAATCGAACCACTTAAGGGCCGGAAGACAATGACAGGATAACAGACCTCCCTGTCGCGGGGGGGCCTGACACCTCACAGCACATGCCTCTGGTAGCTACAATAATGTCAAGGGCCACAGAGCTGCATGGAAGAGACCACTGGAGACCTGGCCATGGGGGACCAGAGTGAGAGGGTCAGAGGACACACACACACACACACAGACCTGTACTCATATCTTTGTGGGGACCTTCCATTAATTTCTAAGAGCAAAATCCTAATCCCAACAATGACAATCTTAACCTTCACCCAGCCCTAACCTTAACCATAAATAACCAAACAAAATACAAGAGTTTTGGTATTTTTAATTTATTGATTGTAGTCACTGATGTTCATAAAACTGAATTTCCCCTCGTGGGCGGGGGGGGAGGAGGAACACACACACACACACACACACACACACACACACACACACTCTCTCTCTCCTGTCTCCTCTCTTTCAGGCTGGCTCACACTTCTGAGGTCAGCTCTGATCAGCTGCATCCTCTCTGGCGAGTTCATGGGCCAAAACAATAAACAGGCAACGAAAACACAAACACAAAGACGGGACAAGTGTGTGGGGGGGGGGGATACAGATGCAATGTATAAGGAGGGGGGGGGGCTCCCTAGGGCCTTGTCAGGAGCTGAGAACAACCCCCCACCCAGTCGGCAGGTGGACCGATCCCAGTGCGCGACAAGGAAATGCAACATGCGAGTCTGCAAATGGCGCGATTTATCAGCTATGTTTCTGACAACAGCCTCCTCTGAGGTGATTCTGCACCCATAGTGATGCAGTATGTTTATAAAGAAAGGAAAAAGGGAAAAAAATAAAGCTCTCGACCATTTAATTAAAAAATGTGTGTTTTTCATGAAAGGGTGGGGGGTGGAGGGCTCAGCTGGCGGGGGTCAGGTGTTGCCGCGGGAGACGGGGTTTGGCTCACGCACACGGCTGGCATTTAAATGAGCGAAATGTGCCGTAAGCGCGGGTGGGGAGGAGGGGGTTAGCCACTTTGCTAAATAAATTACGGTGTTTTCTGAGTGAAGAAAGAACAAACGTGTGAAATTCCACATTGAGCCCAGCACTAGAACAGCCCCCGCGTCTGATCTAGCTACTTCGGGGTCTGGGGTCATAGAAGACCCCTGTATTTTAGTTTGTTTCCTTGTTTACTTATTACACCTTGAACTTAACATCATACTCTAACCTTTATTTACAGTCACTTCTTACGTTTTATTTATTTAGTAGCACAGGGTAAGCCAGTCCCTGGAGTTATTGGGGTTTAGGGCCTTGCCTTTCACTCGTGGTGAAATCACTTCTGTCGACCCAGGGATTCGAACCAGCGACATCCCAGGTAGAGCATCTTATTGCACCGAATCACACACCACCTGGCTCTGTAGTGTCCCGCACCTGACTCACTTCAGCGTGTCCCCCAGATCAGCCCCAGACCCATGATCCTAACTGCATCCTCAGCATGGGATTTATTTTGGAGGAGGGACATCTTCGGCCTGTGCCAAGCAAAAGACAACGCTGGGGGAAGAGTGAGAGAAAATGGCCGGCCGTCATTATGGCGCCCTTCCACGCCGTCACGAGGGCGTTTGTCAGAGGGTGGATGCAGATTGAGAGGGGGTGCTGTTAAACCGAGAGAACGGAGAAAACGGGTCACATCATCCCTGCCCACAAGGACTCGTGACTGATAAGCATATGGGGGTCACAACCGGGCGTTTGAGGAAACCAGCTCCCCCCGCATCAGGACCCACTCTTGAAGTCCCCGAGCCGCAGTGCAGCGGAGTCTGGCAAGCACACAGTGAATTGATGGATGACTCCCCCCCCCCCCAACCCCCGCCCACCCAGCCATACGTTGGACACAAGCGACTCACTGGAATAAAAAAATTCACAAGCTCAACTGTGAAACCTCGCGAAAGACCCACAAACAAAAATATATACAAAATTATGCAAACACTTTCTCATTTTATACCACACCTGTCAAGTCTCCATCTAACCTCTCCACTGAACATCCAAGGAAATAATGAGCAAAACACTTCTATCAAGCAGAAAATTATTCTGAAGTACTGCATCACCAAAAATTAAAAAACAAAAAAAACAAAACACCTGTCTCTTTAAGGAAACGCCCCTTTAATTAAACGCTCCTTTAAGTGTAATAGAAGCTCACTGGACCAAGAAGCTGATTAAACGCAAATCTTATTCTTCCATGAATGTTAACCAACACAGGCAAATCAGGGGGACGATAGAAACAAGTAGCTCTGCCATCTTACCATTATATTTTAAATTTAGCTGCAAATGCAAAAAGGTTTCCAGGCAACAACAGCACAGTTACAGTAAGAGAGATGTGCCCTAGAGTGGGGGGGGGAGCACGCCCAGGCCCAGACCTGCCCTTTCAGGCAAATCCGCCGGGCAGCTGTATGCAAACTGTGTTCCTGATAACGGTGCCCCCTCCATACGCACCATGGCCTGACCTCGAGCGGCTATTTGACGGCTTTAATGCCCAACTTGATTAAATTTATAAAACGAGGACCGGCGTGTAATATATGATAATCACCCGCAGAAAGCACTCAAAAGAAAAATAAACAGGCGCATTTCACGGGGCACTGAGCGCTGAACTTCCCCCACTCCCCAAAAGCAGGCTGCGGGCAGCATCTGTCATGCCCAACAAAGACCTGCTTGCAATGGAGGGGGGGGGGGGCTGTGAGCTCGCAGCACCTACCGGAGGTGACACAGCTTTTATTAACAGGCCATACGACCTATGAGGCTCAAAACAGCGTTGTGGGTGTCATCTGTCTGCTACAGAGGACAGCAGACATAACCAAAGACTTCAGAGAGGACAGAAATAACCAAACGCTGCAGAAAGGGTGCGGGGGCGTACTTTTCACCGAAGAACCTCCTCCAGAACTCTGCGGCATCGGCTTTGGTGATCCGGAAGGTGTCGCCCTGGAATTGGCCGCCGGGGAAGATAGCCTTGATCTCGGCCAGCATGTGGCTGAAGATCAGGGACAGTTTGGTGAGGTTCCGCCTGTGGAGAGGGAGGAGAGAGAAACGGCGTTTAGGGAATGGGATCAGCACGGCTTGGGACCCAGCGTTCAGTGGCAGCGGGGGGGTGACATTGAGGACGTGACTTTCCACCTTGCACACAGCACAGCCCTCACCCCCCCACGGCTCTCGGCAACATCGCCCGTTGACTTGTGGGTTCCTTGGTTTCCGGGGAAACGTACCTTCCTGAATAGATGCTCGCGGTATGAATGCGCAAAGTGAGCACTAGATCCCGACATGGAATGGCATCAGAAATAGGGAGTACGGGGGGTATCCCCCGGCAGAGCCCCCCCCAACAAACAAACAATCAATCTGCTGGTACAGATAAAAAAAAAAAAAAAAAAGCGCGTTCCTTATCTTTTATTATGAATTCGCGCGTCACAGAGGCGAATTCGCTGCGCGTGCAGAGCGTGAAGACAAAGCACATGCCTAACGAAGATAAAACGAGTTTGTCTGATACAAAACTACGTTTCATCACAGGGACGTTTTTTTTTGGTTGTATTTGTGAAACTGTACTCTAAACAGTTGTTAGTCTTTCAAATATTTTATTTTATTATTAATGTTCCTAATACTGCATCCATTCACGATGTGACTGGCCAAAGATCCGAGCCCTCCAGAGAACTTCCATAATCTCACGCTGAACACAGAGGCAGCTCTTTTGATATAATGAAATCACAGAGCACAATATGATTACTTCTTGCCTAGTAGGTACTTTTAGTCAAAGCAACCTACACGGCCTTCAGTCTGACCTTTATCTGCTGGTACAAAAGGGACTTTCGGTCCCTTTCCTACCCAAAGATAAAACAGTGGTTTAACTGGATTTGTACAATGAATCCACAGGACCACCTGCTGGACCAGCAAGACTTCCACCCCCCCCCAGCCACATTAATCAAGAGGCAGGACAGGCAGTCATCGCAAGCCCACAGGAGGGTGGGGGGCCCCGTTTGTCATCTTCCTCTGATGTGCACAGGAGGCCTGGTGGTGCCCACGATGAGCTTCGCGTCACTCGTCCCCAAACCATACGGCGTTACTGGGCGATTTTATGCCCCGAGCTGGCAAAGCTGGGTCACCAGCCATCAGGGAGGCTAACATGAGCCTTGGGGGTGAGGCAGCAGTGGTAGTGGACCAGCTGGCCGTGCTGGGGTGGGGGGGGGGGGGGGGGCTGCTGCTCTCTGGAGCAGGCAGTACACCCAGGGCAGGGCACGGGCACAGATGGCGCCAGGCGTCCGGGGGAACCACGCGCAACGGGGGCGGTAAACACAGCCAGCTGGCCAGGCAGCGGGTCCAAAGCCCCATTGGGCACGTGGCAGCCGCGCATCAAGCGGCTGGGCGCAGGAGGATTACCGTCAGCAAGCGGCCACTTGCGAAGGGGGACAGGGCCATCAAAGGGATCATCTCGATAGCTAATCGCCCCACATAGACGGCAAGGTTAGTGACAGCCGCCGTTTCCCGTCACAGAGGAAGAGAAACATGAAAAACTGTTAATGAAGGCAATCGCAGGCACATAAAAGAGACTCTCTGTGGCACAATATTCCATATTTAATCTACAATAGAGTGGAAAAAGAAAAGGCAATGTTTTCACTGGTCACTAGGTTAGATCCCAAGAGGTCTTTCTGTTAGACCACTGACTTAGGCACCATTCAGGTTAAAATGAGAAAAAAAGAGAATCTTTATATGCTGAATCCTGGCTGTCCTAGCTGATAGCAGAGGTCAGACATAAAGGGGGGTGCAGATACCACCGTCCCCCCCCCCCCTCAAAACGAACAAGGGGCAGGAAAAGAACAAATCGTGGTGAACAGCTGCACATAACTTATGCAAATCTTCTGGCCGCTCTCTGCCCTTATCAGCGAGAGGTGAATGTGCTTACTGAGCGCGCTCAGTATCTGTCTCTCAGGCTCCGGGAAGCCAGGCTACGGAAACTAAGCCCGCCGCCTTCAAGTAGGGCTTTTATAGCATGTTTATTCTTTTTCAAGCAGTACGACGACACCGAATGAGCTCTGCCGGTGACCTGTGTACCTCCTAAGGAGGATGTAACGCATCCACAAACAGGCAGACTCCTTCAAATACCAGGCAGGCCCGTGAAAGCAGGCGATGGCCCAAAGCAGGTTAGTATCCCATAGAAGCGCAGGAAGATGAGGCAACAGATATCAGAGCAGCAGACTGACGTGGATGTGAGCTAAGACCTACTTCAGCCGCGTCACACTCAGACACGCACGGCAGACAGCTTTAGTGTAAGCGAAAGGTGCCCTTGCAGATAGCTCAGCATGTCCGTCTCAGTCAAAGGGTCTGTCCTTGGCACCTTCATTCAGGAGAATGTTCCAGATAGATTAACATGAAAACAACTAATGTTCATCGTAGCTTCAATGACAGCGACAGGCTGGAGGGACGTTGCAGTCTCATAAACAGCACGTGTACGTGTGTGTGTGTGTGTGTGTGACGGCATTATACACCCCCTGATGTCTGGGGGAGGGGGTTTATAATGCCGTCCTCCCTGATGTCTGGGGGAGGGGGTTTATAATGCTGTTATAAACCCCCTCCCCCAGACATCAGCAGTATGGCAGTGGAGAGAGACCTATCAGTCGAACAGCCCCATGCAACATTACAAAGTCTCAGCATTAATCTAACAGAAAGGGGATCAACCCCCTCCCCCCCCCCTACAGCTCTCACACGCAACAGGTTATCTGCTTGACCCCGTGGGTCACTGCTGGGGGTGAGTCTCCATGGACACATCTCCCAGGTAGGTGCCTGGATCTGAAACCTGTCAGACCTTTCCATGGAGCACCATTCTAGGAGGGGGGGGGGCTTTCACCTTGACCTGATTAACAGCAACTGTGTGTG